AAAATTCCACACTTGTACCAAAAATACAGTGTGGAATCAAGCTGTAATAAAAAAATCGTCGTTTTTAATTCATTTAAAGAGGAATAAGTGTATGATAATTCGAAGTTCTGAGTTGAATCAGTTGACTGCAGCACTGGGTGACACGGGTTCGAATCTCAGAACACACATGAGTTCCTTCAAGTTTGCAGATACGCCTTGCTGACGAGTGCCAACTAGCACTAAACCTAGGTCAAAGGCTTCCTGTGGCTGACTGCCTCTAACCATCTAATACCATCAAATTAATGTGCACTGTGATGGCGAGCTAGCTAGAATGGTGGTACCACCATTACATTACATCACACATCACATTACAATCTGACTGATAGAATTCAGTCTACACCAAAAGAGAGGACCAGACGTATCACACTTGTTAATAGTGTCAAATCAAAGAGATAACGGTGTTAGATCATTAGATCATTCGAGGAAACCAACAGGAAGCCTTGGGCCTAGGTCTTGTGACAGTTGGCATTCATCGTCGATCGCGCGTCACTCAGTGCTGCAGTCAGAGACGTTGCCACCAAACTAGCTATTCGGGCTGGTGATTGACCTCCTGTAGAACTTCACTGGATATTTTTGATTGGACACTAGTCAGTAACCAGTGTGATGTATGTGTGTATGCGTAGTCCCTTCTTTGATGCAGACTAAATTCTATCAGACTAGTTTGCAATGTGGCCACCATGCTAGACGGATGGCCATCAAGGAACACTGTGAATTGTTGGTATTAGATGGTTGAAGGCAATCGGTAGGAAGTCCTTCCTGATGCTGAGTTTCGTGTTAGCTGGCACTAATCAGCAAGACGTACTTGCAACCTCGAAGGAACTCATGTCCTCCTTCCGATTACTTCGATACGGTTACAGAAAAACACTACTGTTTAACCTGACTAATACTCAACCACTCATACGCTAGCTTACTAGCTTTCTTCATCACCATTTACACATTTTTTTAAATATTTTGAATTTCAAAGAAATCTGTGCTGATTTTTTCATCTGGAATTGTATATTTTCCAAAATAGCCAGTTTGACTCAGCCAAAGGAAGCTCGCATACAATTAGAAACCATTTTCAGGAGCATGTGTTAATTTTCTTTACAATAAAGCAGTCAGTAGGCATTTAGATTATATAATATGTTTTTTTTATACTTATATTTTACTTTAACATTCTACGAACAGAGAGAAGACGGATTTGATGAACACAACCAACAAACAGCACTAAGAACTACGACTAGAACCAATCATCATCAGTAAACTGGAGAGATTTGAATGAGGCTGCTTCCTGCCTTTACTTATCCAACCAGGAAGTCGGAACGGATGAAGATTCAAAGTTAGCCGGCCAGACAGAATTGGAAAGTCAAGATACGCACACCTTCATCAACCTGAAAACAGCTTGGAAATCTTCTGCACTGCACTGAACTCAGTCAGCCAGCATACACAACAAGATTCGGATTGTGTTCAACACAAATGTGAAGTTATTCAGTTCTTCTTTATGGGTCAAAAACTTGACCAGCGTGTCACAAAAAGAATTTCCAACAAGTTACAGACTTTTATCAACACCTGCCTTCGCTGGTTCCATCCTGAAGGTAAAATCCCCAGCCGGTCGGCCAGAAACGATTAGTAACGACAAACTCTAACTGGGAACAAACCAACAGGCAAGAGTCGATTGTTCAGCAAATATGTAAGAGAAATTGGAGATGGATTGGGGGATATTTTGAAGAGGCCGTCAGATGACATCGTGCGCAGTATATGTGAAGTAAAAATCTGAAGTTTATGTTCATTTCGGTGAAGAATTCATTGCACGGCGTTTACTGCGTCGATGGCACAGTGGTTAGAACTCTCTCCAACCATTCACATGGTCCAAGGTTCGATCCCCTGACGACGCACAGCTGATATCTATGGTCGGCCTACAAAATTTGGGCTACCGATATCACATACTGAAAATTCCATACTTGTACCAAAAAGTACTGTGTGGAGTCAAGCTGTAATCAAAAAATCTAAATCAGCGCGCAAGTTCGCGTATAGGTCATTTGATATAATTGGACGATTAAAACAATGATTAATCCCGATGAATCTTAGCATTTCGATGATTAGCAATTTCGGTAACCCAGTGATTCAGTCACGCCGCCTTAGTGTTGTCAAATAATCTAAATGGAGAACTGGAGCATATCATTATTTCCTGATCAATTGAAAAAAGAAACTATATTACCGTGTACCGTTAATCAGATAAATGTTTATGGTCTTCGAAAGAGATTCCAACTGCCATGAATCGATAAGTTACCAATCCATTCTAATTAAACCTTAAGCATAATGACAGGTATACAAAAATTTATATCTTCACTAATATGAACACTTAATTAAAATAATGGCTAGCGTAAAATTAGCCTCAAGAATTTATTTATGCTCAGGAAGTATGTAAGCATGAGTATTAATCAAGTTAAGACTATAGTTGAGGTATGCATCAAATTAGGTGCCTGAGTGAGTGACTGGTTTCAATGCAGAACTTTGCAACCGATGTGCAACACCTCAAGTTGACACACACTCTCTCTCTGTGTGTAGCATGCAAGGGCAAGAGAAGAGAGTGAACAGAGATTCAAAAGACAGATAATAAGTACAAGTACGAGGCAAAAAGAATAGTAATATGGAAGAACAATATAATTTTATTGCGCCAGCTTTTGAGCCATATCACCAATTGTCTCTAGCCTTCATTGGTTCTTACCATCCCAAGGATCCCGGTCAGCCATGAAGTCTACACCTCCCCCACATGATTGACTCAAACTAAGTGTCAAAGATTTTATGAACTGATGCCATGTTTTGGTTTCACCACCATTAGCTAGCTCTTTTTACAACCTGATCCATCCTATGTTAGTTAATATTCTCCGTCGGTCGAGGAAGGTAATGACTAGGCAACACTACGTAACACACGTCCTAACCATCTCAATCGATGTGACTTCACAGTCTCGTCGATTGATTGCCCCTTCTTACCTAGCCATCGACGCCTAACCCTAATATTGCTCACCCTATTATATCACCGAACATGAGATAGAGAACGCCGGCACCTACGATCAAGACAGCTAGCCTTTTCTTGTGTTATCCCTTCAAGTTAACTGTCCAAATTATATCACTATTTAACTTTACACCTACTGGCGCCAATACAAACTTCTAAATACAGATTGCTCAGGCGTTAATAAATGACAAAAAACACATCTTAGTCAACATCATGAATACTAGTAGCTTACGTTTGAATATGTTACTTGATTGATAGTATTACTATCAGGGAGCGCGTTTCTTCTCTCTATAGAAGTCGCTAGTTGGATATTCCTGTAATGGAACAACGGACATGTTCATGAATAACAAGAACAATAATAATAGTAACGTTACTTATTTACAATTATACTTCATGTGCGAAAGATTCTGTAACTCCTCAGTACCAATTTTAACCACAATAGAGTATTCAGTGTATAAGCCAATTAAACAAGAAATTTTCTTCAGAATAAATACGGTGACCTCTACAACTATGTCTACTGTTATATAAGCTTCACAACGTTATCGACGAACTTCCCCTACTTACCTAGAACTCGACCAATGCCTAAACTCAGCATTAATCACTTTATTATGCTAATTAATACAAGAGATAGAAAGGAGACACCCGTAGTCAAAGACAGCGAGCATTTTCCTATTTCCTGCTTTCACTTCTCATATCTCACAGCCCTAAAAGAGGACAGAGAAAACTGCTGAGCAATACACATGGCCTTTGACCGACAACCAGCCAGATATCACATTTATGCCAGAGACGGCGGAAACTGGCATACGCGAAACTAACCTTCTATATGTGTGCCGAGACTTCGTCAGTGATCAACCTACTTGCACTGGTTGAGGCAACTCCCCAAATAAGTGAGGTGGTCACCACGCCCTACCACTTCACTTCCTATCTTTAAGCTAGAAGTCAACGTAGTCCGGTCCTGTAGCATCATCTTACAATTAACAAGAACAAATCGCATGTCAAACATCCACAGAGTTCTGTTCACGGAGTTTCAATGAATCTGCATTTTGTCAGCGTCTCCACCTAGGAGGACTATATCATCATCAATAAGAATATTCCCTGAAAATAAGTCAATCCCTAAGTCGCTGAAATCAGTTACAGTAAATCCGATTGATACATCTAGGATGAAATTAAACAGAAATAGGGACATTAAGCAGGGTACACCTACTGTGGTGAGAGCTGGCTGCTAGCCAAATTGATAGACAGTAATTTACGTCAATGTTTACGTCCCCTGTATTGATCATAGGGAAAATAAGAACAAAGACTGACTCAACAATCAATCACAGCAGACTTTGTGTAGGCGGATACAATTTGCAGATAGATAATCTGAACGTCAAGAAACGGCCACAAACAGATGAAAGATTAACGTCCAGCGAGAAACCACCACGAATCAGAAGACTGTGTTTGTTTCCTTAAAATAATCTATAATAATGTATATGGAAACCGTGTAACCAATCAAATCCCTACAAACCAACACTTGAATATGAATGAGGTGCTCAATAGCGACTTACCCTATTCAGGTAGGTAGTAACCAGGGTTTCTAGTGAGACGTTTTGACCAGAAGGGTGCAGCAGGTCGGGTGTGAGGACAAATACCCGCCACTGACGACATTGGCTAGTGCCAGTCGCGCTATGTTGTGAATTGCCAGAAGTTAGAATTCAAGAACCATTGGATCGGCTCCCAGTCGTTAGCCTTGGAACCAGAAGATCCTGGGTTCGAACTCCGCCGTGGTGGGTGCGTACTGCCGAAGAGTCCCAAACTAGGACAACGGAAGCAGCTGTCCAGTACTCCCTTTAGCTTGTTTTCCAATGGTTCTCTAACTAATTTCAGCTCATAATGAAATCCTGTTACCAATCAACCAAATCCCTACAAACCAACACTTGACTATAAATATCTGTTGATTTTGGTAAATAAACGATCTGTTGCCTGGCCCTTGTCTTCTGTTGTTACACTACTACTACTACTTATACTACTCATCTCAATGAATCAATAGTAGTATATAGTTTATAAGGTTTTTATAAGGTGTTACTACTCCAATAGAAAATAATCTTTATTTCAAAATAAAAAAAGCAAAGATAATCAATACACAACCTTCATGATTACAAATCACAAATATTTATAATACACATCTAATAATGATAGTAATAGTAATAATAACAATAATAGTAATTGGTGTTACCACTTAAAAAAAATAATAAACAAAACACCTCAAAATAATTACAACACATCTTCGTATGTGAGTATATGTGGGTGTGTGAGGGGGAGGGAGGGAGGCAGGGAGGCAAGGAGAGAGAGAGAGATAGAGAAAGTTAGAGTGTAGATCGATATAGAAGGAAGACAAAAGTGTAAGAATATTGATTACACACTTTGATTTATTCCCCACCACCCCCTACCCACACAAAATCTCCCGATTAGGTTTCTTTTCCGTTCGCTAAGTAAACCACAAAAATAGTAGTAATACTAATACTATTACTACTACGAACAATAAAAATAATAAAAAACAAAATAAAATTTAGATTGAAAGCTCAATTACAAATGGAAAATATCAACAATAACAAGAACAACAAACCAAAATAAATAAATAATAATACAATAAGGCAAATAAGGCAGTAATATTAACACAATATTAGTAGTAGTATTAGTAATAATAATAATAAACACTGGGAGTGCACGTCACCGCAGTCAATAATCACTTGTATACATTTTACCGTTGATAATTGAAAGTGCATTGAAAATAAACAAATGAATAAATTATTGAAAGGTATATATATATATTTATGTAAATAGACACATCCTCTTATTTAAATTCCCTCTTTATGAAATAATAATCAATAAGAAAATCAGGTAGTACATTGTTCAATGGTGTTCAATATATAAATATTTCTCCTTGTTCAAGGTGTTTGTTCAATCGTCCAATAATTCATTTTTCTCATACATATGTATAAAATTAACAAAAACATCTTCAAGCGTAGACTGTCTAATAGAAATATAATTAATTAAATTTTTTTGATTTAATTCTGTTAATGCATTGAACAACTTCCATAAAGGTTGATTTTTACAAAAATTATACTGTTGTCTAGCTAACAAAGGATAACGTAATTGAAAACCTGGTAAATATTGCGTTAATAAAGTGTGCAGTTCATTAATATTACTGAATTGTGTTAGAACATTTTGAGTGAATTCAATATCAATTTGATAGCCTAAACCATAACGTGTTTTTAATTCTAATGGTGTACCAGTACATCGAATTTGTCCATTGACCAGTAGACCAATACGATTACATAATAATTCACATTCTTCCATACAATGGGAACTTAGGAGGACAGCACAATTTAATTGTAAAGCATGTTGTACATTTTTCCATAGTAAATATTTTGCTTGTGGATCCATACCAGTAGATGGTTCATCTAATAGGATAATATTTGGATTACCGATAAATGCAATCCCAGTAGACAGTTTGCGTTTATTCCCACCGGATAGGGTTGTAATCAATCGATTAGCATAATCTTGTAAACCAGTTAATCGAATCATTTTGTTAACAATATGCTTATGATTGACATCAACTCCAGGAGAATTATAACATCTTAGATAACTATAAAATGTTAACATTTCACGTACAGTCATAAATTCGCATAAAGCATCTTGTTGTGGACAATATCCAATACTTTGACAGGCTTTACTATACTCTAATTCTATATCATAACCATTTAAGTAAACATGTCCACGTGTTATTGTACAATGTCCAGTTAACATTGAATAAGTAGTTGACTTGCCAGCACCATTTACACCCAGTAGGCCATAACATTCACCTGGTCGTACAGTTAAACTCAGACGTTCCACTGTAGGCTTTTTTTGTGACCAATAATGTTTAACAATTGATTCAGCATTAATGGCATATGGACAGTCAGAAGATGAATTGTGCATCGTTTTCTATAATGGAAAAATATAAATAATGAAAAAGGATTTGAAAATAGAATTCAGTAAAGACATATACGTACGCATATAACAAAGATTATTGATTTAAAAGACTATTTGCGAAGCAAGCGTCAGTGGTGCAGCAGGGGAACGTTAGCCGACCACGCCTCATGTGGTCCACAGTCCGACTGCTAATCGAGGCAATCGTAAACCTCGATAAGCCAGTGGTAAGGCTGATAAACCCCAAGTCGTTAAAGTAAGAAAATCACCACTACCGAAACTTCAAGGCTCTAGCTTGAAGGCGTATGTCCTATTTGTAGCGTAAATGAATAAATTGGCGAAGCTAAACTATTATAGCCAAAATCACAGTGACTATGACCAATCAATCAGGACTCAGACGTGAAGAAGTCAACTAATTGTTAAAGAATATATATCAAAAACGTTACACACACGATATTAAACTGGATAATGGTCTTTATTGTGTTGTAGAAATGTCTTCTAGTTTCTCCAAAGATAATCCGCAGCGAAATCATACCGTATCCAAAACATATATTCATCGAGGTAGGTGGCTGTAAATAATCGTGGTACTTAGGAATCCACTGATATTCCTGATTCTTATATCCAACCTCCCCCCTCCAAATTCCTTCAGTGGAATTAATGTGAGTGCCTGTGATTCAATCAACACGATAGTGAATGTAAACCTAAAGATGACAACTGGTTATATCCCTTCCTTTCGTCAGTGAGTATATTCCTCCTCGCATAATGAAACCCTGGATAATTCCAATTAATACTCTGGCACTTCTATAGGGTGGTGTTTCCGCGAAACCTTTGCATACTGAGGTGTCACATATTCCAAGAACACACAAGTACTTGATTAAACCTTCTTGCTGCTTTATTGTACTTCTGCTTTACGAGGACAATTTCATCAATATGAACCAGCACTCCTACTCCTCTGAGGCAGGCGGTAGTACTCTGAATTCCATGATGCTATGTCTCTACAACATTGACTCAACTACAGGAGGAGGAACGGACGAGGATGTCAAATCGAGAAAGAATCAGGAAGGCGAGAAACAAATTCATCAACCTAAAACCAATATGGAAATCTTCGTCACTCAGCATCAACAACAAAATTCAGTCGGATTTTCAATACAAACGTAAAGTCAGTTCTTCTATACGGATCAGAAACTTGGAGGGTCACAAAGAATATTTCCAACAGGCTATTGCAAACCTTCATCATCAACAACTGTCTTCACTGGCTCTACACTGAAAATCAGATGGCCGGGCCGGAAAGAATCACCAACAAGGAACTATGGGAACTAACAAAACAAAACAAGAACCAGTCGCCAACCAACAAATATGCAGGAGAAAGTGGAGATGGATGGATTGGACACTTGCTCGCTGAGGAGGCCGCCGCTGGGTGACATCGCGCGCGCGTCAGGCCATTTCTCGAGTGGAACCAGACCGAAAGTGAAGCGGTGAGTGGGACGTTCAAGAGTGACATGGAGGAGATGGTGTGAAGAGCAGTTGAAAGAGTATGGACTAACATGGATGCAAGTGAAAAGTACAGCAGAAGACAGAAGCAAGAAGTGGGGACGTGCAGTTGAAGCCCTATATTCCACTAGGAACCCAAGGGAACAATAATAATAATAAATAATAATGTCTCTACAACAGTAAAAAGTAGACACCACAACCAAATGACCTAGACCCAACCAATGAGATCTCTTGGCATTACAAATGGATGCTTTTTATAATCTGTGTTGCAAGTTTTCACTTTGACTCTAGTCATAAGCCTACCTTAATCCTACCCTAACCTTAACCCTAAATCAGGATGAAATTCACAACGACGATTATGAAAAGCGACTGTTCGTAATGCTGAGCGATGTAACTGGCTGGCTCAAGGTCATTTGGTCGTAGTGTCTATTCCTCACTGTTGCCGCCTCTACAATTCTGATACCATTGTACTGTTTAGACCAGGTTGCTCACCACCGCAAATGCTGTCCTTACAGGCATTTACAAAATTCAACAATATATAAGCCATAAGATATTTGACAAAAGCAGCTTAGATTTAGGGAAAAAATACCTAGAGAATAAGTAGTTTATTGCATATATCCTCACGGAACGATTTTCTCTGATAGCATGATTATAACCCACAAGGTTGTATTGTCTCAATGTCATAGTTTCCCTCCTTCCCCCCCCCCACACACACACAAATCTTAAGTGTTTTAATTAATCCCTTACTGATACACAGCATTTAAATACTTCATCTTCCCAGAACCTGTTGAACAAATCCATAAACACAGGCATGAACTCTATTAGGAATAAACTTCCAAAGAGTCCAATAAATTTGATTGGTTCTTCAAAGTCAACTCTTCATAGACTTTGACTTTGGCAGTGAGTTGAACTTTGTCGAACTTTTGACTATTAATATTTTTACTTTATTCCTTTACGTTCTCAGTGGAACATAGGGCTTCAAGAAGCTACATGCTTGAAGTTTCGATAGCAATAATGTTTATCTTTACGGGATGGGTTTGACAGCCTCATGCCCAACCTTCCGTTTTTACCAGCCAAACGAAGTTTAGAAGTGCGTCAGCCGGGAATCGAACCCTGGACCACATAAGGCGTGGTTGGCGAGCATTCTGTTGCCAGTCAATCAAATCTACAACAGTTAGTTTAAGCCACGAAGGAAGGTGTAGACTTCCTGGTTGGGGTCCTCGGGACGGTAAATACCAATGGTTGGACAGAATTAGTGATATGGATTAAATTCATCTTTCTCAAATACTGTCACAGATGCATCCACTCCTTGTGACTTATAATTTCCAGTGAAACTATATTGTTTAATTATATTTTAATAGTTTACACACAATGATAAGTTTTGTTATTGGTAATTTTGCTCGAAATATTACCAATAACAAAACTTATCATTGTGTGTAAACTATTAAAATATAATTATACTTTATTTGATCTAATCCACAATGCTCAAACTGTTTACTGATATTAAAACTATATTGTTCTTCCTCTGTTTACTGTCTCTATTATGCATTTCTTCTGCTTTCTTCTCTTTCTTTGCGTACTACATGGAGTGTGGTGACTTGAAGTGCTGCACATAGATGCAAAGTTCTATGTTGAAAGCAGACAGAAAGACAGACATTCTCCATTATGGATAAGATTTTATTTTGATAAATCATACAGTGTTATACAATAATATTAACTGATACTTATATCAATAAGACAGGCATTCTGTCGCCGAACCACCAACTCACAGAAATGGCCAGAGTAACCAGAATATATATATATATTCATGGGAAACTGTTAGCTTTTTTGTGTGTTATAATATCTATCATAAGATATGACAACTATGTGCAGTAAAAAAAAAGCACTAGACTTCAAAATCGATACAGACAGATGTCTACATCGAATGAGAAGCAAAGATCAGAAAAACTCTAATATGTGTACTCGGAAAGTAAAATCAAAAGCGTTTCATTAGAACGTAGCCTAAAAAAAACAACAACGACAACAGGACGATAGAATCATAAAATGAGAAAATTCTTGGAATAGTTCCACAAGTCAAAAGAACCTGTCTGATTGATCAATAATAATAATAACGATAATAATAATAGTGACCAATGAAATTTTATTTAACAGCCAATTGCATTGCACCAATTCTGTCGAGTTGGCATTCTGAATGCCAATTTCGGTGAGTGAGAATTTGTGATGCTCTATCTGGAGACCAAAACCTTAGTGTATGCAGTGGTGGTGTTCCAGTTCCCATCACCAACTTGTTGGAAGTTGAATGCTTAGAGGCATAATGTCTTATGAAAATGTCAATAATATGATCACCTCTAAATGAGAAAATGACCTACAGTATAAACTTAATCAAATTCCTCATTTACAGATCCTAGTTTAACTTTGATTACGGTAAACGTCTAAATTATTATTATTATTTCTTCCTTCTTATCCGAGTGGATTCAGGAGCACACCTCTATTGTATTCTCTCCTCTGTCTTCATTTTCAGCGGATTCCACCATCAAACAACCGCCCGCAAGCTCTCATTTTCTTTTTATGTGATCTTTTCCATGTCACTTTCGGATGTCCCACTCAACGCTTCCCACATTTGGTTGCTATACACAACGGCCTGTACTAGTATATGGTGTCAAATAAGTGTCTCCTGAGTACATAAATGTTCAATTCATCTCCATTTCCTTTTGGAGACTTATTCGACGACGTTCACTGCCAGGATTCCTTCATTGCTGAACCTTTCCAGCCGGTCATCTGATCTTTAGTATCCATACAAAACGGGTCAGATGTTGATGAGAGTCTGCCACAATATGTTGAAAATGCTTTCCTTCATACGCGTAACAAATCAGTAAAGTATACAGAAATACGGAAATACGAATCATTTTCTATGCATTCTCCAACTGTCTTCCTCTACCTACTGACACATGCATCAGATGAGTGGTGAATCCAAAGTTTTCATCTAAGTTCAGGTTAGATCAGGAACTGACAACAGCAAGAGAACCATCAATGACCGAAAAGTACTGAAAAGATATTTCGTGTCATAGTTTGGAGCTCTCTAGCAGTACAAATCCCTTCCCACTCCCGAACAACAGGTAGAACCCAGGACATTCAGGTTACGAGGCAAGTCCATTGACCACTCATTCATTCATTCACTGGGACGAAACCCGATGACCCACGGACTCTAACTCCTGTCAATTTGTTCAAGTACCAGAAAAACAAGTCTTCAATCTTTGAGTTACTGCAACTACAATGAGAAGCAACGCATATTTGTGTTATAGATGTCTACAACTATCTGACAAGAATAAGTGTCAATTAGAATGAGCAGGATACTTCTATGTGACAAAGAAATGTCAGTATAAGTGAATGTCACTGAAAGCATAAACCGATGTATTATTATTGTTTCCTTTAATTCCTAGAGTAACATAGGGCTTATGCCGCAAGTCACCGTTGCATTCGGTTCTCTGCCAACGTTTTTACCTCGCTCCAAGTCTGCCTGCATG